CCCCAAAACCCCAAAACCCCAAAACCCCAAAACCCCAAAACCCCAGAAGTTAGATTAGATTTAATTAAATATTTTAGAGAGAATGGAGGTAAGAAAATGAAGCATAATGCAAAAACTTTAATTAGAAGAAGACTGCCTAAAATTTATTTAGTAAATATGTAATGCTCAAACCTTGGATTTTTTAGCATAAAATCTTCCTTCTCCTGATTCCAAATCTATAGGCAACAGAACCTACAGAAGAGTATGATCCCCCATATGAGCCACCTTGTCTGGACATCCAGGATATAGAAGAACCTATGAAGGCTGAAATTGTTTCGGAAGAGCCAGAGAGTTCGGAAAGATCGCAAAACTCAGAAGGTTCTAGTCCATCACCTTCACCACATGATGTTTCCCAAATTGCACAATTTATGGTTGATGAAGAAACTGGTATCGGATATTTTAACCCATAGATACTCCATTCAATCTTGAGAACAACATTGAGAACTATTTTTACTACACTGAGGAAGACAAATGTGAGGATAACTCTATCTGTGACCATAATCTTGACATGAAGTTCCAAAATTTGATGGATAATGATAATATTAGTGAAGACTTTATCATCAATGATATCCAGTTTGAAGATATTTACCAAAACAGTAAGATTAAAATAAACCCACTTTAGGACAAGTTACAGAAGGATTCATAAGAGTTGATCTCTATAGTCTGAAGATCCTCAAAAAGGACTACTTGATAGATAAGCATGACCAGGAGAAGCACTTCATTCAATGAGAAGAAGACTCTTTCTTAGAGTACATCCTTAATATGAAATAATGAGATTTCAGAAGAGAAAATGGAAATTATGAGGCAAGAGTATTATCATATACCTTATAACTTGGCTCATAAACTAATTTTCCAGAAAACAGCAGTATGACTTAGAAATCATAGTTATAGAATAAAACAGGGGAGGGAGTTTCAATAGAGATTAGCACCAAAGATTTCAGAACAATCACCATCCTTTTAGAGGTAAAATTTAATTTTGAAATTGTAGGACCAATCAACTGGAATCCAACTCTTTGAGAACTTGAAAAGCTTATGCTTTAGTGGCTCATTCAAAAGTTATACCTACTGTATCATAAAAGGTCTAGAACTCAATGTGACTAGACAAGATTCTGTTCCTATTGGTTTAGATCATTCTAAGAAATCTGAGCTGACAAACTCCGGCAAATCTCTCCCAAAGAACGGATGGGAAGTTTTTAATTTTAAATAAGGAATTTGAGAGACAAGGAGTCAATAGAAGCCAGATCTTGTTTTGAACTCTGAGGTGTTGGGGAAAGAAAGACTCTCTTAGCTCTACTTATCCAGAGAAAGTCTATGTCCCTCTTGCTCTCAGAGACCAGAAAATGGTTATAATCGTAAGTGAATCGTGCTCAAATATAGAAATGAGCCCAATTTAGAGTCAAGGAAAGGTTCCCTGCTCTAACTTACCATCATAAGAATGGAGCCTCTCTTTGGAGATCAGCACAGATTTCACAAGGAATCATGAATAACTCTTGTGAAGAAGATGAGCTATTCATACGTAGAATTGGAGAAACTAATCCGTTTAATGATGAAGTATACATCCTTGATGCAAGAACTAAGATGAACGCCAATGCTAATAGGTTTGTTGGAGGTGGAGCTGAAAATTACTAGGTAAGAAACATTGTTAATCTTCTTTACTTCAATATTTTTGGAACTTTCTGTCATTTTGATTCTTCTAATTCCAAAAGCTTCTTTAATGATTTATCAGTTACAGAGTAGTTTTACATCCTATTTTTATAATAAATCTGCTAATATAGCAAATGACATTCATGCTATGGAGGAATCGAAGGGATCTCTTACATAAATTCATCTTACAAAACTATCATGAAGTTTTGTCATAACCAAGGAAAGATTCAAGATTCCAAATTCTTTGAAAGATTAGATCATTCAGGCTGGTACAACACAATACGAAAGCAAATGGAGTTTGCATCCAAAGCGGCTGAAATTTTGGAATGAGAGCAACATAATGTCTTGATTCATTGAGCTGATGGATGGGATAGAACAACTATTTTATGATCTCTTGCTCAGATATATCTTGATCCATATTTTAGAACGATTAAAGGACTTGAAGTACTAATTGAGAAGGATTGGGTATCTTTCGGTCATAAATTTCAAGATAGATCAGGAAACTTAAAAAGCCATAATCATTTATCAAAAGAGAGGGCCCCAGTTTTCATAAGTTTCTGTGATTGATTGTTCCAGTTGTTAACTCAATTTCCTCACTGATTCGAGTATAACAACACATTATTGTTATTTCTCTCTCATCATGTTTATACTTGAAAGTATGGAACTTTCTTAATGAACTGAGACAAAGATAGGTATTTCTTTGAGCTCCGATCTAAAACACTGTCTATTTGGGGATACATCAATAAAAACTTAAAATACTTTAAGAATCCATTTTACAAAAAGAGAGAAGGAAGGATCACTCCTATAGTAGCTCCAGCCTCAATGAGGTTCTGGAGGGAACATTTCTTCATTCACACAAAGCTGAGTGGCTACAACCCTGAAAGCACAGAGTCAGTATATCCCTTCGATCACAGAGAAAGAATGTATATGGAATCTCTCGAGGAGATCAAAAGACTGAAGGCTCTGCTACAATCAGGAAAATAATCATTAAATCCTGAATATCAATAAAAATCCAGATATTGGGGTTTTGGGGTTTTGGGGTTTTGGGGTTTTGGGGTTTTGGGGTTTTGGGGTTTTGGGGTTTTGGGG